ATAATCTTCTGAGCAGTGAATCTTAATTGGAGGGTTTTGGGCTGGGTATTATGGACTCCACTGAGAATACACGTTAATCAAATACATTTTACATGCAACTCCCTGTTTTCCAGTGATCTTTGACTCAAAACCTCTCTCTGGAAATGTCACCAAGGTCCATGTCAGGGCTTTGCCCCTTGGCTTTTGCCTGCAGAGATGGAAGACTTTTTTAATTGATCTCCTGACCTCAGTGGCTGTTCTACAATCCAGAGTCATCCTATTGCTGACAAATTCATTTTCTTAAAATGCAGCAGAGATAGAGGATGTAACTTTGTGCTTTTGAAAACTTCAGTGGCTCATGGAGACATGCAGGCATGTCAGCACAGCACCAGGAATCTGCGCTCCATTCCCATACTCGCTTTCCACATTCACGAGCTGCAGCCTCTGCCCTCCGGTGCCCCTCACAGCAGCCACAGCGCCAGGCCCACCTGACGTACCTGAGCCTTCCTCCAAATTGCTGTTTGCACAGCAGTGTTTTCCTTTTGAACGCTCAGTTTTCTCCTTTGAGGTTCAGTTCACATTTCCATTTCCTGCCAGCCCTTCCTCAGTTTCTCCATTTACAGGTAGCTACCCTTTCCTCTGAGCTTCCACGGTGAGTTGATTATGGCTCTCATACTGCTCTCCACATTTGGGCTCATTATGGTCTGTGTGCCTTCCCAGAGTGTGCTTCTGCTGAGGCCAAGGGCTCTACACTCAGGTGCACGATGACAAAATGACTGATGAGCCCACGAATCTACTGTTTGGGATTTTACTCCTCCCAAGAACTCTGAGAGCTGAAGGGGCGCCCAGAGTACTCATAGGGCCCACGATTGAACTGTTCATACCCCCGGGGTTACTGAAGTTCGTTTGTGTTGAGACCTCTTCCTCTTGCTTCAGCAATCACCTCCTTAGCCCTTCTCACTGCGGGGCCTGATGCCAACCCTTAAGGGGGCTCAGCTTGTCCTCACTGTCAGAGAGGTGGTGTGGTAGAGCCATTGAGGTGTTCAGCTGGAGGCCACCTACCTCAGTTTGCGTCCCAGTTCTGCCTCTGTTTTGCTGGTGGGGTCATGTACACCACGGGCAAGTTATCTTCCTCTTTGGCCTCAGATTTCTTTTCTTACCGCCCTCAACCAGGAGCCCTGTAGTATCTGTCTCATGGTGTTGCAGTGAAAAATAAAAAGGTAGTAATCCTTGTAAAGTTCAGAGCATTGTGCCTGCCACATAGCAAGCATGTAGTAACTAAGTGTGAGCTGCCAGGGTAAGATGCTGGGAGGTTCTTGTAGCTTCTAGGTCAGGGCTAATTAGCTGGCAGCATCTGGGCTAGTCATGGCTCACACATAAACATTGCATTGTTTTTGTGGGGTCAGGGAATATGGGGGTGGCTACGGAAGTTTTGAAAATCACAGGAAATATAAGAGACTGGATTCTCTTGAGAACATTACAAGATCTGAGGTTGTTAGTATATAGAGTTTAAGAATACGAGCTCAGAAGCAAGAAACTCAGTTAGGCTCTAGCCCTGCTGTTTATAGGCTGTGTAATTCCATGCAGGTTGCTTAACCTCTCTGTTTCTCAACTTCTTTATCTTTAAAGTGGAGATAACAATAACACTTTATAGGGTTCCTGGTACTATTATTAATTGGGACAATGTAGTTAAAGCTCACGGTACACAGTAAGTAGTAGGTAATGTGTGCTGCTTTTGTTGTCGCTGATGCAGGTTTTACTCCTGTTACTGCTGCTAGTCACATACCCTGGGCTCCAAATCCCTCCTGTGCCAACAGTTGGCACTGAGTAGTAGATGCCCCCATAGTGGGTATGAACTTCTACGGTAGCCGCAGTCCTTGCCATGGCCTGTCATCTTAGGTCTGCCACAGTGTTTTAATAACAGTTCTGCGTTTCCTGTTGACAGACCCCACTTTTGGACATCCATGTCCAAGATGGTTGAGCTGTGAACCAGTCTTTATAGAAGTATGAACCTCAAGGAATATTTTATCACAGTGGTTCTTAATGTGTAGTCCAAGTCAATAGTATCAATGTCCCCTGGAAACTTGTCCTCAGGACTTAGCCTACACCTACTGGATCAGAAACTCTGCGGACAGGCCTAGCAATGGCTTTTAAGAATTCTTCCAGCTGGTTCTGTGCCGACTGAAGTTTGAGAACTACTGGTTGGAACACAAGTGTTCCATACTGATATCGCCTTTATCTGGTTTCCATGTAAAATTAAAAATGTTGAGGTTTGTTTCTAGGCTCTTCAAATGATTTGTGAATTCCACTCCTGTGCGTTCCTGTAGGTGTTAGACACTGCCTGTGTGGGACCCTCCTCTGGCGGGGTTTGTTGAGAGTCAGGTGAGCTTTGATCTTTTAACTTGCCGAGTTATACAGTTTACCTGGGGCTGATGGTCAGACGTTTTTAGATAGAAGACTTTAGAAGGTAATGGAAGGACTCCTTTTAAATGGATATGAAATACATGAAGTAATGGTTTTAAAAAGACTGAATAATTCTTTTACAGATTCTAAATAAAGATGACTTTATATCAGCCATCTTACTTCTGTGACTTGGAAGTTCACACTGCTTGTCTGCCTTGTCCTCCCTCAGTCATAGTAATTTTTCTTGGTTTCTCGAGAATTCTTCTCTATGGGGCAGTACCTTTTCTCCCCTGGCCTGGTCCAGGGGTATTCAGAAGGCCTTATCCAGTAAAAATCGTTACATTTAGCTTTTGACAAAAGCCCTTAATTGTGCTCTGAATTCACACACTATATCAAAGCTACTTTTTAATTCTCTTCTGTGTGTTGTTAATGGCTATGTTATGGCATCCCATTCTATAAGTATTCTAGAATTTAGTATTTCTGTTTGCTAGTTTGGGAAGTTCTTCCCAAATAGATGCTTTGCATTTTGTGAATGTGATTTTAAGATGGCTTTCATAAGCCTCTTCTCTAAGTTCGTATTAGACTATTTCATTCTACCCACCAGGTACTCTGCTTTTGATTATAATGTTATTGAAATAGAATTCAATATTTGTACTACGGAGGATTGAACATTTGTACTACAGAGGACAGATTTGCTATTGAAATCTTATCTTGAAAGATCTTTGAAAAAATTGTACACATTGTTTAGATGCAGTTATTTATAATACATTATTAGCATCTACTCATGGTTATGTAATGTACTCAGCCAAAATAATGTGGATTTAGTGACACTGCTAACAGTTACTTTCTGAAAGGAGAGTTTTGGAGATTGTAATATACTGCAGCTACAGTTTTTACTTAACCAAAACCAACAGTACATAGCTGAAGCATTTTGTCAATCGCTTCAGAACTGAAACGTTGATAGACATTAGCCCCCCACCTGCCCACACACTGTTTAGAAATCCTGCTTCTTTCAGAAGGAACATCTACCAGAGAACCTGAAAACAACCCCGCTTTTCAGGCCCCTGTGGACATGCCATAAGAAGGCAACTGAAAAGAGCTTGAGCTTTCAAGAAATTTATATCATCTTTTGAAAATAAAAACGTCACTGAGAATTGACTTCCCTTTTGCTTTTCTAGTATGTGAAAATAAAACCAGTTCGGTTTATTTATTAAATATTTATTGATTGCACAAGGAGACACAATCTCTGCCCTCAGAAATACGTAGGCTATTAAGAGTAGGTACATGTGCAAACAAGTAATTACAAAGCAGTGTGATACGGACAGTAATGGAGGCGTGAGGGATGAGGGAGTGATTGCGTTGGAGGTGGTGATGGGAGGTGGCCGGATGAGAGTTCAGGGGCTGGGTGATGGCAACGTAGGGTTTCAAGGACGGATTCCGCTTCCTGGGTAAGTTGCAGGTAAATTTACACGTGCAATGGCACAGGGGCAATAAGGGGCGCGGCCTCTTCCTAGGGCTACAAGTTTAGAGACGAGGGTGAAGTTCCAGGCGGGGAAGAGCACTTAGGAGATAAGGCCACAAAGGTAGGGAGGTTCCAGGGCCTCCTGAGCCTTGAGGGCATAGAAAGAGGCCTGAGAGTCACCTTCTGATGATAATGCTGGAGCTAGAGGCACATTTACAGAGCATTACTTTTTCTCTGGGCATTTTCTCTAAAAGTTATAAGTCAGCGTCCACAGTACCAAATAACCATTTTGTAGCTTTTTTGAACCGCAAAGGTATTCAGGGAAGAATATTGAGGTTAGTAAGTACAAGTAGCGCTCCATCCTTTGAAAAACATCCCAGTATAGATGTTGCTGGTTGTGGGTCAGCAGTTCCTTCTATATATGTAACATGAATAGCAGAGTATTGACATATTCTATTTAAAACATTTATAACCCAAGATCTTTGAGGAGATTGTGGGATTTACCAAGAAAAAAAATAACATGTATAACATGTTTTCTGTCTTCAAAACATATTGTTTTTCCTTAGAGATTCCTAACCACCTTTGCAGTCAAGAGTACAACAGACTAGTTTTAAAGGGAAATCTGCAATGAGCGCCCTAACACGTACTCAAACAGTGGAAGAAGTAATTATTTTTAACTAGAGGTGGAAAATAGAGGGTGTGGACCAGGAAGGGTTTGCTGAGTGGGTGGCATATTCAACCACCATCAGAGTATTTGCTGGGCAGAGTAAGAATTCTAAAGAAGGATAATACAGTATTTCTACCCTTGAATTGTACACACTTGGCATGTACACAAATTATTATAGTACAGTATTTTATGTAGCTTAATAATGGTGCTTGTGTCTCCTGTGATGCACTGGCATCACATGGAAGAGACTCTTTGTGATTGTAAGGAGATTCTCCTTCATCTGGGATTTCAGAGGCCTTTTGAACCACCTTCAGCTCCCCAGGTACTTCCTAAATAGTCTCCCTTTAGGCCCCTACCTTTCAGCTTTCACCAAAGGGCTTTCAAGGTGTTTTTGTTTGTTTGTTTGTTTGTTTTTGTTTTTTAAATCTAGTATCAACATTTTTGTAATGCAAAATAGGTAACATTGTTTGAATTATGTGTGTAAAAGAGTGTGAGAAGGTATTTAGGAGGTGTGGTTTTAAGGACTTTACATTTGTCCACAATAAATCTCTTATAAAATATAAGTGAGTTTTTGAAAAGATCTGTAGTGGCCATTTACTTTCTGTGGTGTTCTCTTAATGATACGTCATTCTGTTTATGAATAGATCTATGTGAAATTAAAAATTTATATAATGCTTTCTGTACATCAGGATAATAAAGTGTAAGAAAGCATTCGTTGTAATCCTCTTATACTGCTTAAATGTAATTTCCAAATAAATCATTTTTTGAAATCTAGCCCCAAAATAGAAGTGAACCATGATAAAGTTATCAGCTTAGGGTTATATTGTCTGTCTGACTAGTATGATTGTCTTGGGTTGATGCTGTGGTCTTTCTTCCCCTCATATGTAATAGCCTTCTGAATTTTTTACATAAAAATATATATATTAAGGGATCCATACAAATGTTAGTTGCTGCCAAGAAGAGAGTTGTTTCTTTAGCTATAAACAGTTGATTTTGCAATCTACAGTCAGTCTTACTGTTGGTTTGACTGTGAGTATATGGAACTCTGGCAAAATGAAATGGAGCAAAACACAGAAAGAAGACAGCCACAACAATAAATACTTTACCTTCCAGCTTTTTGTTGTTTTTGCTGTCTTTACTTTTCGACTTTCTATAAGACTCATATACTTTCTTTGCAATCACCACGTAAAACAGAAACATTAAGGTAAAAACGGTCCAGAAAATGAACTGTGATACGTAATTCACCCCTTGATGCCATTTCAGCCCCAGAGGGCCCTTTAAGGAGGCACACTTCTTCACAGAAGACGGTGTGACTTCCTTGTTGCTTAAGATGATGTTTGGCAGAGAGATGAGGAACAAAAGGAACCAGACAAGGGTGGAGACCATTTTTGCAAAAGCAGGTTTCTGAACAAAAAATTTTCCAAAAGGTCTGATGATCTTGAGGAATCTGTCGAAGGCTATGAGGCCCAGCAGAATGATGCCCACGTACATGGTCTCATAAAAGATGACCGAGGAGAAACGACACACAAAGGCTCTGAGTTGCCAAGGCCCAAGGTGTGAGTCGGAGAGGATTTTAAACGGAAGCATGAGTGTCATTATCAAGTCAGCCACCAAAGTGTTTTTGAGGTAGACGATGAAGGTGGAGGAGCTGGAAATGTGAACGAACACCCATAGGGCCAAAGTGTTCAGCAGGATGCTGGCGAGGAAAACGACAGTGTAGGCGGCTGGGAACACCAGCTGGGTTACCCGTGTGTCTCTGGGGCACCGCTCAGACCCATTGAAGCCCTTCATCTCCGTGGTGTTCATGATTTCCAGTCTCACTGTTACAAATTAACAGGTACATGAAGTAAAATGAAGCCTTTCATGATTTCAAAATGATACTTTCAAAAAAAAAAAGAGACTTTAGGTTTGTCACATATTAACAACTTATGTACTAACATCACATTCAGTAGATCGGTTGAGAAGGCACATGTTATATTTGGCTAGAATTTTTAAAGTACATAATACATTTTTGGTACTTGTAACAGTACCATTACTTTCACACCATTATGAAATCCAAATAACAGGTTCTACTCCATTCACAATTGCTACTTTTACCTTGGCTGTAAAACAAAACCCCATCTAAGAGGTAATAATTCATGTTGGATTGCTATACATTATGTAATTCCTTATGCTCATAATCTGTGGTTTTTAGGATGTTAACTTTACCCTTGAATATAGTCTACCTTTTAAAAGCAAGCACACTTAAAATAAAAATGGAAACTCACCTTGTTTGGGAGAATACTCAGCTCAGTGTCTTCTGATTGAGGCAGTCATTAGATCAGCCCATGAAGAACATGTGAAGCAAATGTCCTTCTGCTTTCTTATACCCGGTTTCCTTCCTCATTTTACATGTATAACACGAGCCATCAGAATCTTTTTTTTTTTTTTTTTAGATCGTATTTATTTATTTATTATTTAGAGAGAGGAGAAGGAAGGCGGGGAGAGACACATCGAGTGGTTGCCTCTGGTACACACCCCTGCTGGGGACTAAACCTACAACCCAGGCATGTACCCTGGCTGGGAGTTGAACTGGCGGTCTTTCCCTTGATCGAACGACTCCCAACCAACTGAGCCACACTGGCCCGGCAGCCATCAGGATCTCTTCACATTCAAACCTTTGCAGAATTTTCTAATAAGAAACTTCTGTTATTTCAAACGTATGTACTGGTAGTATACTATGATTTGCATAAATCAGTTGAAGTTATCTTTATATTTTCTTATACAGTAACTTTCTTGCAGCTTAATCTTTATTTGCCTGTTCAATGAAGTTTTTGCGTGCCTCTTGTATATCGTAGTAGGAGGCAGAAAGATGAAGTAAATAGCCCCAAATTACAACCAAGTGTGAGAGTTGACTCTAAAATCAGAAGAATCATTAGTTTCATCCTTGTAGACTGCTTTTTTCAAAAAGCGTCTGGTATGGTGACCTCTTATTTCTATAAATATTGATATGAGTCTTTTGGTCTTTGAATCACTGAGAGATAAAATGTCATATTTCATAAAAGTTAAGGGCTGATAGACCCAGATTTTTGGAGTCAGAATGCCACATCCACCAATTATTGGGAACTAGATCATAGACAAATAATTTAGTGGTCCTGTGCCACAGTATCTTCATCTGTGTGATCAATGTAATAATAGTGTATACCTTATAGTCTTGCTGAGAGGATAAAATGAGTGCTCGGAATAGTGCTGTGGTACATAGGAAGTACAAGGAGATAGCCACTCATTGTAGTGGTGTATGAATTACCGATTTAAATAGAGATGTACTTCTTGCATATTAGAAAATCATTTTTAGAAACCTTTTTCTGTATTTGATGATATATGCAAAGTGCTGAAGACTTCAGGAATTTCATCAATCGATCTTAGGCCAAGGTCTGTACAATTTTTTCTTTAAATTCTCTTAAAGTTTGAAAGAGTATAATTGCTGATCTTATATAGACAAAATCTATGACAGAAACATTTTCTTGCCAGATAGGTAAAGGGAAAGAGGAAATTTAAGAGACCTTAGGAGGGAATGTGGAGTTCTCCATGGTGAGTTTCACTTCACACTTTTTGCTACAAGTTTACCACAGAGTTGGGGTAGACTGTGGGGTTGGGTTGATGGAGAAGGTTTTGATAACTTGGTTTAGGATTCTGAGAATAAAATTCCATAACCCACTGGACATTTTAAAATAAGGCAATAGGATGCCTGATAATTTTGGTTGGAACTACCTACTGGTGACTGACACAGCTTAAAAAATATGTGTTTGACTCAGATTGATTCTTGGAAATACAGATTCTGGATTTCATTAATGTAATGGAACATAATTTAAACATACATCTTTTTGTTTGCTTCCATAGAGGAAAAAAACAAACATCTTTATTTTATTTTTTTTAATAAGTAGAGGGATTTGACCTACATAATTAAGTGTCAGTTTCCCAATGGTGCCAAATCCATTATTTAGATAAAGGTTTGGAACAGTTTCAATTTAAACAAGAGAAGTGCTCTACAAGATAGTTCCATAATATAAAAACTGGAAATCACATTTTGGTCAAATTTCAAAATGCCAAAGTGTGGGAAGCTTTCAAAAGAGGAACTTAAACGGTAATTCATTTCTAAAGTTACAGAAATGTATTCTTTTAGATGTAGTAATTTCAAAATGTTTAACCATAGTAAATATTTCAACAGATCATTCATTCTTACACGTTCATGTGCTTAATACGAGGTAACTCCTTTGTCTCATCCGTCGCCGTGGCCCCTGAGCAAGATCTTTTGCCTTCCATGGTTTCTCTGAGAGGCTGCCTGCCCCCAGAGCAGACAGCGGCACTGCCGAAGGAGCCGGAGTACCTGGGTTCAATTCCTTATTCTAACTCTTACTTTTCTTGTGACCCTGGGCAAGTTATTTATGCTCTCTATGGAACTAGTATCTCCTCTTTACAAGAAAATAAATGATAGTATCTGCGTTACAGTGTTGTTAAGGGGATAAAATGGGTGAACATTTACTAACAGTGGAGAATGATATATGTGGCATGGTAGGTATTAGTGTGTTTTTTTTGTTAAATGAAATTAAAGGAAAAATGGAATATCATGTAGAGCTGTGGAGAGAGCTCATGAAAAACAGGAGGGAAGAACCAAAGATGATGGAAATAAAGGTCCCAGATATTAGGTTCCTGCCAAATGGGAATAAACGAAACATTTAAAATCCTATTGAGCTCAAAGGGAATATTCAAAACTTATATAATTACACTAGCTGTGCTGTTTCATATGATAATATCATCGTATTTAATTCTTAAAACAGTACCCAGAGATGGGGTCCTGTTTTACAAATGAGAAAGTAGAAGTGCAGAAGTTAAGCAGTTTGCCCCAAATCATGCAGGCCAGGCCCACTGCAAGCCCACACCTCTGGGTTCTCGAGCCTGTGCTCCCAGCCTCCCTTTACTCTCCTGGCTGTAGAAGCCACAGATGAGACGAACACGGAATTGTTTACCAAGTTCTGGAGTTTTTGAGTTGGGTGTAAGTGATTGGTGAGTGAGAAGAATCAATCGACTATAAAGTCAAAGGACTTGTGAAACTTTTTGCCTTAAAGTAAGACATGAGGTTGAAAATGAGTTGATTCAAAGCGGTATAATCAGGAGAGACTCAAAGAAGATATAATAAAAATTAGAAATCAAAAGCCTGTGAAATGCAAATAAACTACTTTTGCCATTTGTAGTCTCCTTTGGGATTTTTCTAAGGATCAGAGGTACCATTCTGAAGGTTCCTGTGGATGTGATGACCAGTACCATGTAAATATTTAATAATACCTGAAAAGATGAAGTATTTGCTTTACTTGGAATGAAAGTAAAAATGGGAACTCCTATACTTATAGAAGAGTCTTTTACTCCCCGTAAAAGTATACCATGGTACTTTCTCAGATTATATGAAATTGTTTTACAAATTCCATACTGGGTCAACCAAAAGCAGTAATAATAAGCTAAAATAAATTATGCAATTTAACATTAAATATAGGAATCTGTTATGAAATTCAATATTAGAAAGTCTGTACATATAGCTGGAAATAAGCAATTGATTCATATTGAAACATTTATATCACAGTTTCATATTTTTATTGTAAAAGTTTAAAGATTTCAAATACAGACATGTATATAGTAGGAATTGAAAGTAAATCCCCCTTACATATATATGCCAATGCTGTAGAAATATGCATATATGTATATATATTTGTTGACATATTGGATCTTTGTTTCATTCCATGTTAGCAGTTCCCTAATTTTTAAAAAATACTGTGCTACATATATAAAGTTCTCATTGTTTAGTTGTCACTCATGGGCATTTTTGCCATTTTTTCTCATTAAAAAAGCTGTAGAACATACATATTCATATATTTTTGTGCATTTGTTCCAAAATATTTATAGTAAGTTTCCTAGAAGTGGAATGCTGAATCAAAGATATGCATCTAAATGTAGAATGGTTGTTTTCCAATAGCTCTCCAGGAAGATTGTACCAGTTTATGGTCTCACTGAGTGGAATTCTACAACACCGTTACTAAAAGTCTTTTCAATCAATTCTAAATGTATAGGCACAAAAAAAGCCGTGCCATTTAAGTATAAAATTAGTGATACATCTCTTTATATTTTAATTGTCCACTTGTATTTCTCCTGCAAGTTGATTTTTTTCAAGCCCTTTCTCCGTTTTTTAAAATGTCAGGCTGTTTCTCTTCACTTAGTGACTTACCAAAGTCTATTTCCTCACGTCTAGTTCCCACATTGGGCATTGCCAGCCAGCAGTCATCACCGAGATCAGCCACTCGAATCTGCAGTTGTTCACTGTGCACAGCTGCTGAAGCACCTTGATGCATGAAGACAGGGTTCTTTTTCTGTGTAGGAATTTTCTCCTGTTTTTAAAGTTCTAATTAGGGGTTGTCAATCTTCTTTTCTAAAGAACCGGTTAGTAAATATTTAGGTTTTGCTACCATGCAGTCTCCAATACAACTACTTAACCTTGTTGCTGTAGCAGGGAACTAGCCAAAGGTAAAACCCGAATAGGTGGGGCTGCATTCTAATAAAACCTTCTTATGGACACTGAAACTTGAATTTCACATAACTTTAATGCAACATGAGCATTTTACTCTTCTGATTTTTATCCTCACAAACATTTGAAAATGTAAAAACCTTTCTTAGGTCATGGATTATACAAAAATAGGTGGTGGGCTGGACATAGCTTGCAGGGTCTAGTTCGCCACACCTGCTTTAGATTGTTTCTGTGAGGAAGCAGTGAGAGAGACGGCCAATAACCATCATCCTGAGGACTTGTTGGCCACTAAGGCTTTGGGCAAGACTCCATTTTGTTTGCCTCATTTATGAACTTTTCAACTTCTGTACCTCAGTCTACAAAATATGGCTTCACTTTTATTTTAAGTTATTGTGAAATGTGGGATGCATTACATATATTAACATTTCTAAGCTGGAGATAGTGACGTTCTGTGTATAATGAGCACTTTGTGGTACCAATCTCAATCTGTCTCAGATGGGTTCAGTTTGATGTTTGATATAGGAGTATATACTATCTTAACATCTTTGAATAAAGAATTCCCAACAAAGTGTGATTTAGACTTCCATGAAATTTTTTATACTATATATAAAAACATAGGTACTTTCAAATACTTTACTTTTTCTTTCTTTTTTTTTGGCAAAGGTACCATCATACCTTTATCATTTCTGGTTTTCTTTCTCTTGTGGAAGTTGTCATCTCAGTGAGTTAGTTTAAGCCAAAATGAAAGATTATTCAAGTAAGTCTTTGCCCACTCTGTAGTCTCTTTAACAGCTCATGTGGCCCGGGCACTAGGATATGGTCAGCTTTATCCTACTCTCTATCCCAGATGGGCTGGGGGGTGGATCTACCCTTTATGTTTTCCCATACACAAATTAAGAGAGTCAGATTTGAGCTTTCATTTCTCTTCCAGCTCAAATATCCTCGTATTCTTATGGAACATGCACACTTCTGCATGTGACATTAAAGTGAATTTCATTCATTTATGAATATCTGAAGTCGCAGAAACAGCTACTGCTTTTGTCCCAAAACTATGTAGAATGCACATCGGTTTGGATGCATGTCCCTGTGCATTTCTGCTGACTTCCAGTGCTCGCTCTTAGCAGTGCCAGAGAAGGAAGTGTAGCAACTTGAGAACTGATACCATTAGAGAGGTAAATGAGTACAATTTTGCACTGAAATTTAGCTCAGCAGAACTTGCAGAGGGTTTGGATAAAACCCATCACTGTTAAAGTTCAGTGAACTTCCTTATACTACAGGTTACCCTTTAAATTTCTTCTATATTTAGATGTTGGGATCTATGCCTTCTGTTTTATAATCATCTCTGAGGATCACAAATAAGATAAATGATGTCAAATTCCAAGCGTATTGTATATTTTGTTTATATTAAAAATAATGAATAGGACTTGAGTGGAATCAGACTATATTTTAAGTCTGACCTGTTTTTTCATTTACGTACAGACTAATTGATGTGAGATGTCACCTTCAGAAGAGACTTTTCCCAACGTTGTGTCATAAAACAGTGTTGCCAGCCATTCTTTCTTAAATGGGTTTGATGTTTGATGTAGGGGTAAATAGGTAGTGAATCATGATATCTAATACCTTTGAACAAAAAATTTCCAACAAAGTGTGATTTAGAGTTTAATGTAAATTTTTTGTTATACACACAAATAACAAATGGGTAAATCCAAACATTTTAATCACTTTCCTGTTGATAGTTATGCTGTGCAAATCTAGAATTATATTTATTTTTCTCACTGTGGGAAATACTTATTAACCTGAGATGCATGAAGTTTCTAGAACCAAGTTAATAAAGGCAAGTCAATGATGGCACTGTGTTTACTAGAGTTGTCAAAATATTAGTAAAACTCTTTTTATCTAGTGTTAAGGAAGTTGTTTTTTTTTTCTATTAGAATTCTCCTTTGTATGTTTGCTATTCTACACTTTTTATTGGACAGGTAGTTTTTAAACTTCTATCTTAACGAACATTTAAAAAAATTCAGTCCAATCTATTACCATTTCAATTAGTATAAATCTCTTAGGTCTTTGCTAATAAGTAAAAGTTAGTAGTTACTATTCTTTCTGTGTCCCACTTAACTTAAATTTTTATAATGATTATTACAATAGGTCAGCATTTGATTAGGGACTAAGATTGTATATACATCTTAAGTATAATTTGTGGTTAAAGATTTTATCAGATTTATCATTCTTCAGTTGATTATGTATTGTAAGTTGATTATAACATTGTGATCAATAATGTATTTAAAGAATTACAGTAGGTATTATTATATTGTTACCTCTTTTGCCAAAACTCTACACTTGTGATTTCTGTATAGTTTTGCATGTCGCGTGGTGATTGGATAAAGTTCATTTTGCTCCACAGCTACATGTTAGTTTATTTTTCTACTTTTTAAGATAGCTTTTAAATGCTGGAAAAGTAAATTAAGATTACTTTTGTAGTCTTTTGTTATTTCAAGAGTCATTGTGACTAACTCAGCTACTTCTTAGTCAGTATTAATATTTTCACATAGTGTTTTGCTGTCAGCAGTTCCAAACACTACTAGATTGAACTGTTATCTCAGTTTGTTTACATGGGAGTCTCTTCACTTGGGTCCCCACCATCCTGTCCCTTTTTCCGATTTTCATGTGGAGCAGATGTTGCAGAACTGGAGCACTTCAGCATACTCATCAAGGAATTTTTGAAGGACTTGCAAAGGAAAAAATAGATGAATGGGTCTAGGCATGCATTTAAGGAAGTTAACCAGAGAGTGCTCTCTTTCACGTAGAACAGAGTATTCTCAGCAGAGCAATCAAAGACATCCCGGGTTTGGCTGAGGGTGTAGGGAATTCGGGCAAAATGGAAGGGAACAAAACAAATAAAAAATACAGCAATGATAATGAAAACTTTGATGTTCACCTTTTTCCTGGGGACTTTGCCTACACCCCTCGTTCTTACATAGGACCTGTATAGTTCTTTTGTAATGAGTGTATAACATACAATGACAATTAAAAAATTAATCCAGAAAATGACTTGACAGATGTAATTGACTATTTCATGCCAGACCAAACCAAACTCTGATTTGAAGAAAGAACATTTCTTAACATTCTTGTCTCTTGGCCTCTTGTTGGTTAGAATCATGTTAGGCAAAGAGAGTAAGAACATGAATGCCCAGATGACAACAGAGAGAATCTTAGCTCCCAAGAGATTTTTGGGGCTGGATGTTTTAAATGGCCTGGTAGTCTTCTGGTAGCGATCAATAGTTATTAGTCCTAGGAATGAAATACTGATATACATTGTGAAATAAAATATGACGGAGGTCACTTGGCACACAAAAGTTCTCAGTGGTCCCGTTCCCAGTTTGGCATCGCTGAGGATTTTGAATGGAAAAGTCAGAATCATGAGAAGATCAGAAATGACTGTGTTCTTAAGAAAAATAATGAAGTTGGATTTACTGCGGATTTGAAAGAAAATCCTCATTGCCAGGCTATTTGTGATGAGTCCAACGAAAAACAGGACAGTATAGAGGAGTGGGAAGAGGACCTGGGTGATCTTGTAATCTCGGGTGCACAGGCTGCCGTTCCCAGCCTCCAAGGTGAGGTTGTCCATGGCTGCGTTTCTTCTTTGATACCTGGAGTGGGGAGAGAAGGGATGGTTATTTTCAGTCCCAGAGAGTTGATTTTGTTCTTATATCCATGTGTAATTTTTTTTTGGACAGGCTTCTTTAAAAACTGAGGTTTCTGATCCTCTCTGTGGCAACCAGTAAGAACACAGAAAACGGGAATCTCAGAATATTTCATCATGGCAAATATTCTATCTCTAGCAAAGTAAAATGGTCTGAATTGCATGACGGCACGGATGCTTTGTGTTTCTTAGTTGTTGAATATTTGCCTCTCATAGAACATTTTTGATCTTAGGCAAAACACATGAATATATATAAAAATTAGAAGAGCAATATTAGGTCTCTGCTTTGTTCTTCTAGCTTTTAACTTTTTTTTGTCTCCACTCAGTCACTTTCTCTACGCCATGCTTATTACTGGACTTCATTTACTCTAGTGGTACCATTAAAGAGTCCCAAGGAGAAATGAGTAGTAATTGCCTCTTAGAATTAAATAAGTACAATAGTGAAGGAGACAGAAGATTTTCTTTTATAATTGAAGGCTGTTTCTGCCTTTATATTGCAATCATCCATTCAAAAATCAGCCTCACAGGGACTCTTCTTTAGCTCCAAATATAATGGTAGCTAAAGTAAAATACCAAGAGCGTGTCCATGTCTGGTTCTGGAGGTTTTTATAGACCAACAGACAGCTATACAGAAAACTAACACTTAACCTGAATACATTCTCTGGCATCTAAATTTTGAAATTTAAAGTGAAATTTGTAATATTTTTATTTCATCCGTAACAATGGAATTTACACTTTATAACATATTATTTCTAAATATAAGATACAATAATGTTAAAATATAAATCTCTAATAAATTTTTTTAAAGGCTTCCATGTAAAAGATTTAAATATGACAAATAAAGGTAGAACTAAATCCTCCTCATCTCCCCCTCGCTCCGCCAACAAATGTCAATGGAATTATTTTTTCCCATCCTTTAATTACAGAAAGTAAAACAATTAAGATTCATGTTGTCACAATTATGGTTTCAGTTTACAACACCTCCGCACTTCTCACCTGTTTAACCTGTAACAAACAAACAAACAAACAAACCAAAAATGGTATTTAATTGATACAATATCACTGATTGTAACCTTCCTTGCTACTGTTACTTGCTTTTGGTTATATATTTTTTGATAGTTTTTGAAATTCTACTTTGGGAGTAGTCATTTCACATAGACTATAACTTATTTAACAAGTATTCTTGATATTGGGAATTTCAGCTCTCTATATTTAAATCTCATTTTACACTCGAAGTAAAATAAGTAAGACTCTTTATATTTTCTTTCATTACTCTGAATAAATTTTTAAATGAAGTTAATGGTTATCTTTAACACCATTATTGCAGCTTATATTTTAATTTTTATTCCAACTAAATACTTGCATTGATATTGTTATTAAAGGTTTCCAATTTTAAGAACACTTGAAAAAAAACTTCCACATACACCATAGTGTAAATACATATATTTGTCACATACTTCTAGAAATAGTTACCTGGTTACTCTGTTGATTTTGAAGGATTTGAATGTATCCAGTAAGTGGTAGTTATTTCAACCTGCAGGGTGTCAGCTGGTATTTTCCTTTTTAATGTCTTAGGTTAGTTGTTAAAGCTCTTTATGACAGAGAATTTGCTGGTTTTGACGAATAAAGTCTTGAAGATTCTAGAGAGAAAGAGCGAGAGAGGAAGAGAGGAGTTCACAATGTGCTATTACCTTCAAATGCTGTGGACGCAAAGCTATGCAGACACTGGATTTCCGTTTGGCCACTTTTATGACTTCTGCTTTTATTTCCTTGGGAAGCGTGTGGCAGGGTGGGTGAAGAGTCATCTTTTGAAAAGCAATTTAAAATCTTGTGGCTTTTTACTGAAACCTGTCATAGAGTTGATGCTGTATGAGTTCTTTTGGTTATTTTCCATGCAAAGGATAAATCCAAGCCTTTTGAAATCTGCTTCCTGGAAAAGGTTGCAAGCTTGCTTTGCTTGAAAACATACTGTGCTCAACACGGGGTGATATATTACCTTGTAACAACTAATTATATTAACTCAAAATGTGTGCTTGTTAGGGATGTTAAGTCTCTTGCTCCTTGCTTTTTTTTCCTGGTTAATAATGTCATTATTTTAAATCTGTGTTTGATCAACTTTTTGTATGTGAAACAGTTTCCTCCCATTATAAATTATAAGATTTCAAAATTACATTAGAAAGAAAAACAGTTGTATCCATTTCCAGACTTATTATATAAGTATCTTTTATGCTTTTCTTGAACAGAATTTACATAGAAACAATATTGTTTTTCCTTTTAACCTAGCTTTTGGTTTTGGGAAAATACTCTTTGATCATTATATCAGGGATTCATGTATCTATATTACTCTGATACAAACAGTGTTCTGGGTGTGCATAGACACAACACACATGTTTCTAACTGTAATCTCCTCTACCAGAGAACCTTTTGGGTAGATGCCTTTGCTATGAAGATTCATTTTGGTTATTTCTTTCTTTCAAGTTTTGTGTGTGTCTGTCTCTGCATTTGTTAATTTTCAACAGTGTGGTTCTCAACAGGCAGAACAGCAGCTAGACTTCATCTGAGAAGTCATGGGAAGTGCACGTTGTTGGGCACCAGACCAAGCCCCAGTGAGTCAGAAACTGTGGGTGCACCCTTCATCTGTATTCTGATGAGCCTTCCATGTGCTACTCGTGCACACAGGAGTTTGAGGACCACTGATTTAAATTGACAAAAGAGTTTTGTTTACATTAAGAATTTTAAATCAAGCTATGAATTCGAGTCATTTTATTTGGAAATTTCAGTTACTTAATGACCCTGATCTGTCGGTCATCAAGAGTTGTTCGTTTGATTATTAAACTCTTGGAAAAGTAGGTATTAAGGTATTTTTATTCTAAGATTTGACTATTGCGATGAAGAAGCCTTATTTGTTGACTTGGAGACACAAACTCATACTTTGACATAACTTTTATGCTATGCAGAATAATAATAGCCGCTGTTTAATTTCTTATATTTTCGTGAATTAACTCATTTATGGTCTCAGCTACTCTCTGAAGTAGATATTCATATCGTTTCAATTCTCCGGATGAGGGAAACTAAGGGAGCAGAGAACTAATTAGAGACACAGTTCCAACCCATGCTGCCTGATCCCAGAGCCTGCATCTGTAACTACTGTGCAGTTGCTACTAAATCTTCACCATCTCACTGTCTCCATGACCCCTACCCCACACTGAGGCCGAAGAATGTCATGAGTGGAATGGCTATACTTCTTCCAAAAAGTGGAGGAGTCATAATTGCCTTTACAGCAAATTGTAAACTTGAAAGGATATTTATGAATTGTGTCTAAGGGCTAGAGATGAAACAAGACTTGTGGCAAAAAATTTTTAACTATTTTCAACAAATTAATGCATTATATTACAGGAACCCTAATTTAGGATACTTACGGCATATACTTTACTGAGAATTTCTATTTGCAAATTCCCAGCAGGCCATGAATAAGGGTTTGAAGGGTAAAGGAAAGGCGCTGGCTCTTTCCTCTAGTTTTAACTCACAGCCACACCCACCTGTGAACCTTCTCTGGAAGTCTTTTCTTATTGGAGAATGACTGCCATTTACCCGTTTAGGTAACTTGACCCTGAAAGTGACTAAACTCTTTTAAGTGAGACTTGTTTCAGGTTACAAAAGTATATTATCATACCAAAAAAAGTGGAGCAGGTTGTGCACTTTAACCTCTCATTAATAAAAAACAACAGGCAGTTTGTAATTGTATGTATAACTGTTCTGAGCAGGACTAGCTTTGATTGATTTGGTTATTTTAATGATTGAGATGACTTAGAAAAATAAGATTATACTCCAAAATTCTTACATGCAAGTGATTTCATTGGTTTATTTATTTTGCCAAGCCTGCTAAAGGTCGTTTGCTTATCTGAAAATATTTACTTGAATGAGGTTACTCTGAACCCAGAGGTCATACCCTGAAAAGGTAGGACTCCATCCATCCCTTTGGAATCGGTTTGTGGCAGGAGGATGGAGAGGTTGCTCTTAGGCTGTCAGGGTTGGTAAGTGGGGTCATTGTGACATTCGTGGATGTTTTGGCTGAACACACGCATGTCACGGCAGTGCTTACTTATGTCACCCAGCTTGGCTTTTCCTGTGAAGAGTTTAGAAATTTAGGTTAGATAAAAGACACTTTCCTAAAGTAAGGAGTCTTGGGCATTGGGGTTTTTAGTAAAAGAGTGCTAAGTCTGTCAATCTAATTATTTGTCACACCTGTCTCATGTGCTTTGCTCGAATATAGAGAACTAGTATATCTAGTTAAACACCTTACCATCAATTTTGCTCCTAGGATGCACTGAGTTTATTGGATAAGGACCTCATTTGCTCTTCTGTGGACTATGAGCTGTTGTAGAACAAAGACTTGCTATACATATCAAATTTTTCCTATTTTCTTGACTTAAAGAAAAATTTACTCCAATTCAGGTGGAGTTACTAATGAGAAGAAGCTGCTGTTTTCTTGGTACTTTAACACAGCCTCCCTCCTGTGCGTGTAACATACCCATTCTTCCAACCCAGCCCAAGGCTTATTACTGGTGTAGCATTTATTTGAGATTATTTTATTCTAAACAGAATAATGTATATTGAAGAATTCAGCTCAAAAATAGTGTTTGAAAGTCTCTCTTAAGAGTTCTTTATTTTAATGGATGAACTAAAATAAAAATTTTATGTAAATTGTTTTTTTAAAAGTGGCTTTTACTACTTTATAGAAAAAGTAGTAGTAGTGGGTTTACACTTGAATATTTAAACATGCAAATTAAAGACTGTTGGGGAAGTTAGAAATGCTTTATTTTATCCAATCAGAGTGGGATTCTTATTTCCCTTTAAAAAGAACATTAACTTACTAATTTGAAAATTCTACCACTATCAAGTCTCTGTAGAAATATCAAAACATAAGGAATAAGGAAAGTACATAACTCTGATAGTCTAGCCACCATTATCACATTTTTGTGAACACACACATTTTGGCAACTTTTCTAATCACTTATTTGAAAGAAATGAAGACAACTCAGGGCAGACTTCAGTTTAATTAGCTGCAAAAAAGTAGAGGAGTCATAATTGCCTTTACAGCAAATTGTAAACTTGAAAGGATGTTTATGAATTGTTTCTAAGGGCTAGAGATGAAACAAGACTCGTGGGGAAAAAATTTTAACTATTTTCAACACATTAATGTATTATATTACGGGAACCCTAATTCAGGACACTTAAGTCATATACTTTGCTGAGAATTTCTGTAATTCTAAAGATATTTGGTTCAAGAGACATGTTTTAATTTTTGTTGTATAAATGGCCTTCCAAGGTTTTGGGCATGCTTCCTCCTAGTCCCTTATCAATTAAGTCTTTACAATATAGTAACTGGAGAAGGAAAGTAATCAGAAAATTTTCAGAACTCCTTTTACAGGGGAGATAACCTGTCACCCAAGGACAGCAGTAGGCTGGCCTGAAAGGGACGGACAGACTTCTGTGGATTGTCCAGTTGATTTTTTTCTCCTGCCAAATAAATGTGTCCTTCAGGAAGTAAAAGGATGATTCTTCATTACTCATCTCTAATCATTAATATTACTTTCAGCTATGCAATTTGAGGGCATTTTAATTCCCAGTTGAAAGAGTAGGACTCGTTGGTACCTCTGGGAATATTAGGTTTATTTTCTTAGGTTGCCTTAATTCTCACGTAGTAAAAATTGCTATTTGAAGATTTGTATATTTTTCTACATTTTCAGAAAATTGACAGAAATCAATCTCATAGGCCAGCAATTTTCAACCTTTTTCATCTCATGGCACGCTTAAACTAATTACTAAAATCCTGCAGCACACCAAAAGAAAAAAATTTTTTTTTTTTTTTTTTTGCCAGTCTAACAAAAAAATAGGTGTAATTTTGATTCATTCACACCAGATGGCTGTTGTGTTGGCTACTGTCATTTTCTAATTTGACAATGTAAGGGAAAAGAGGTTAGTGCCCCTGACTAAATAGTCAAGTATTGCATATTTTAAAAATTCTTGTGACACACCAGCTGAAAAATCACTGTAGTAGGCTATTGAAAAAGAGTTGCTTTTACAAGTCTTTGTCTTTCCACTTTAAAGAGTAGTAATGGCTATCATGATTTTCTTAAAAACAGTAACTATCAGAAGCAAATACAGTCTTTACACCATACAGAGGTGACCAATGGATCTTTTTAACTCCATCCTCACTCTCAAATCACGACTTTGCTTCTAGCCCAGCTCCTGGAGCATATCAGGGTCAGTGAACTGATAGAAGCTTCTTCATGGTGCTCGTTTCTCCACCTACACATTTCCCTGTATTCCTATCAAGTTTCTTTTTACCCTGTGGTTAAGTAAAAAGGTGTGCCTGTCTTTCTTTCCAAGTGAAGCCACACAAGAGACTTGTTTTCTCTCTCTTTTATCAGTTATCTGCCCTCCAATCTGGATTTCCTTTTTGGAGACTTTATTTGGAACATAGCTTTGAAACAAGAGGTTGCCACTGATTACCTAATACAGCTTTCTCTTTCAGGCTGTTGTTCTTCATACCCAACTACTAGTCAGTGTGGGTTACTTCTTTCACCTTCATGTATTTCTCCGCCTACTCTTACTTCAACGCTCTGTTTCCTGCCTT